ATAGAATTTATACATACATGGGGAAATCAATAATATATACATAGAATTTGGCGGCCGATAATTCGATGTGCGACCGGGGCCGTAATAGTGCAGAACTATAATTTTGAGTAGCATAGATAGAAAAGCGTTTAATTGTTAATTATATATAGGTTACATAAAAAATAAACTGTATTTTTTTTTGTGACAAAATAATATAGCATATATTTAATAAATAAACATTTTGAAATTATTTTTGCGCCAACTAAAATATGCAAAACAATTATTATGTAAAGAAAAAATTGATTCAACTAGCGAGTGAATAAATATTCGTTGAAATGTAGTTAAGTCAGTAGTCAAAGCAGAAACCGGGTTAGCTATTGAACTTCTATTCTTTTAAATAGAATAACTTCATTATATATTTTTCTTCATATAAGGAAAAACATTGAACAAACTAAAGCGTTTGGAGTTTTATTTAGTTCTTTAGCACATTGACAAATTGTTTAAATCCAGAACCTGAATCTTCGACGACATGAATAAAGTACATATACAGTGCGGCTCAAAATGATAGGAACGGTGGATTTTTTTAATTTTCTTCAAAACAAATGGGCTATATTAAATAATATTTACACAGTATATTTCTATTAACATTTAAAACACAATAATGTAAACAAATTTGTTTAAAGCTTTATAGGTCTTAGATAACAGAATAAAAATGATTTTAATGATTTAAATGCTGGGTCAAAATGATAGGAACAAATGAAAAAAAAAATTATTTTTAAAATTTTTCCATTTGCCATCCCAGGTAACATGATCTTTTGCCCACTGCAATCGTTGCTCTTTATGAAATTTTGTCAGTGGCAATGATTTGATTTTTTTCTCAAATTTCAAATAATTGCATTTCTTTAGACATCTTTTTACAGTACTGATAGTACAGTTTAATTGTAAGTCATTTAGCAACTCAAGAGAACTGCTTGTACCCTCACAGGCTTTTCGAATTAAAAAAGCCTTTGTTCTTCTTGTTAGTTTTTGTAGCCTGCCAGTACTTTTTTTGGTTCCATAAGTCAATGGATTTTTTAAAAAATTAAAAACAACTGTTTTAGAAACGTTTAATGATTTTGAAATTTTTCCCAGACAATATTTTTTGGATCTTAATGTCAAAATTTGAATTGTTTGGTTCCTGTTTAGTTTTTTCCCTTTGCCCATAATGAAAAACAATTTTAACAAATTTCAAATCAGTCTAAAACGCGCTTAATGCAAACAAAACAACGTTTGGTGAGATCTAATGTTCATACTATTTTAAAACTGCTGCTTTAAACTTAAAAATAAAATCGTTCCTATCATTTTGACCTGTTGTAAAATCGTATTTTTTGAATAATCTGAATTAATATTTTTTTAAAACAATAATTTTCTTATGTTTCATTGTTTGTTTAAATGTTGAAAATTGGGGGTAAAAATTTTAATTAATTCGGCACAATGGTTTTGAAGAAAATGGAAAATACCAACCATTCCTATCATTTTGAGCCGCACTGTATGCTGGTACACTAACCGAATTCTTGACAATATGTAATAAATTTCACCGATTTATTAGTTTTTATCAACTTGTATTAAAATTTTTCAATTTGTCTTAGTAAATTGTTATCGACAAGATTGAGTTTGTTTAAAAATTGAAGTTTTATTTTTATTAACAAACATTTTATCAAAATTATTGCAGATAGATCTATTTCGACGTTAAACCGTCATCGTCAGTGCATTATTTATAAATTTATTAATCAGTATTATTAAATTCGAAAAAGAATTTAAAATTTCAACAACGAAAATTTTTAAATTAAATTGTTTAATTAAATGATAGTTGTCAAGGCGGCAAAAACAGCGTCAAAATTGTGAGGCGCGAAATTAATTAATAATGGAAACTCTTTTATTGCAACCAAAGTCGTTAAAATGAAAGAAAAATGTAATTATAAATGTAATAATGTTCAATAAAAACAACAACAACAACAACAATAATAATAATAATAATAAAAAAAATAATAATAAAAACAATAAACAAAAATGATAACAATAATAATAATAATAAATTATTTAATTTCGCGCCTTTAATTTACTAAATGTTATAATCCAGAATATATTATTAACTTATTTAAATTTTGTCTTCTCTTCAAATTCTGCAACTCAACGCTTATTGTGTAATAGTTAAGCCTTAAGTTATAATATTGATCTACAATTAAAACAATTAAATAATTCAAATTACAACTTTTACTTTTCAAATTTATCAAAAGTCTCACTAGATATATTTCTATTAACATTAGGCTTTCTAAAAATACTTATATCTGGTAACACAAAATTGGCCTCATCAAAGTTGATGACATTACCTGAATTCTCTGGCAAAAGGCCACATCTTGCTAAATATTTCTTCATTATATATGATATTTAAATTGATATGCAGTCGGATTGTTATTCCAGCCTTCTAAAATTATCATCACAGAACATATACATTCAGCAAGATACAAAAATAAATTAAATTCAATGCATACCACTTCTGCGGACAGCATTAAAAAATAATTCTAAATGATCCTTGGACAACTCGTATGTTAATAAATATTTTTGATCTTCCATGCAATTTTCAGCAATTTTTATGATTGAGTTAATATTGGTCACAAAATCTGTGACAAATGTTTGTCTTTAAAAAAGAAGCAAATTTACATGTATGTCCATCTTTTTAATGCTAAATTTACTTGTAGGTGCTGTAGAGAAAGCGATCATCTCTTAACTTAAGAGACAAAAAATAATGTTTTAACGACAGCAAAATACTTTTAATTTTATCAAAATTATTTTGATTTAGGGCTCTTTGAAAATAGCTACCATGTGAACTTCTAGAGTTTATAATATCAAATAAATTATTGGTATTTTGTATAAATTCTATTGTTACTTCAGCTTCTACAAATTCAGGACATTTACTATCAACCAGTGTCTGTAAAGCTAAGACAACAAACCTGCTTAGTACCTTTGCTGCTAAATTTATTTGTTAATTAAATTTAAAGTTTGGTTCATTTCAAATATATACCAAAAAATTAAAAGTAAAGATTATTCATTGATCATGAAAGTAAATGAATAAATATTCATTTACTTTCATGATCAATTTTCTGAAATAAATTTTGTTCTTGGTTAATTTGTTGACTATTCGAAAACCTGTTGCAGACTGGAGGTTATGCAGTTTTTCAACAAATTGCCAATTAATGCAACCCTTCTCGGAACACAGTTGTTGACATGAGGACGAGGGAAATGTGTTTCGCATAACCTTCAACAAAGTTGAACAATCATTTTTTAAACAATTATTAAATCAAAAAACATTTTTTTCGTTCACAAACATACTTGAAAATTAGAATTGCATTTGATCAATCATAGTTTTTGTGCTGTACACTGACCATCAGCATATTACAGGCATCCAAAATCGAGATGCCCTTCAACTTTAAATGTTGATGTAACATTACGCAACGTAAGATTGCAACCTAACAAATTTAACATGGCCAAGTTTGTTGGCAAGCCATCAGCCACAAGTGCAACAACCTCAATAGAATTCCATAAAAAATCATCAAACTAAGCAAATACGCATTTTCAAGATTTAATTTTTTAACTAATTAACTAAATATAACTATTTAGGGTATTGATTTAAAGTTGTGAAAACAAGAAAAAAAATGTTGTTGACATTAATAATAAAAAATACAGCAATTTCCTATTTTACAATTATGTATAATATAACAACAATGTTACAATAGCTAATGTTTATTAACCTTCATATTAATGGATAAAAGGTTTTTAATAACGGACAAAACCTTTTGCATTTAAGCAGATAGCCCCTGTACACAGAAGTATGCAATGGGAACCTTCTAATAGTGGTTTGGTCCAACAGCTCTCATAACCAGGATTTCATTGGCCAACTTTGCGCTTGACATCCCTGATAGGAAATGAAAAAGATTAAAGATTACTAAACTGATTAGTGAAGAAAATTTATCATTAAATGAATAAATATAAAAAAACTATACCCAATCCTAGATCAACATATCCAAAAACTTCTTTTCTATTTTTGGTAAATGCCAAAAGTTGTTACATTGTCATAGCATCAATAATTAATGAACACTTTGAAAATGAGAATGGCTGTTGTTCCACTTTTGCTTTCAATAATTTGAAAATTTGCATATTTATGCCAGAAAAAGATTCCAGCTTTTCCAGCCATCTAACAATTTTAATGTCCATGAATAATTTTTAATTTCATTAGTAATAAAAATGTATATAAATTTATGAAATTTTTTTTATTTTCCCACTTTCCCATGGTTCTACAATGTGGCAAGCAAAAACCTTTTGATCTTAAAAATTCATAAACCTTTGGTCCATTTTATTAACATTTTGTCGTCATTGTACAGCTCAACTATTATTAACTGTGAATAACCTTTTTTTGTAGGTTATATATATATATTTATTTATATTAATTTTATTGTACAATTCAACTTTGTACGTCATCTTATCATTCATCATTTGTTCAACTTTAAAATTTGTTTTTGAATTTGTTAAAATTTGAATGTCTTCTTTATAAATTAATTTGTTTATGATAAAACTGGCACAAATGAAGTGAGAATTAGCTTAATAAATAACAAATCATTTTCAGAATGTTTGCTATCAAGGATTCCAATCAATTCCAATCAATCAAAGTTTATGAAATTTATCGAAGATGAAAGCAGAAACCCAGGATCAGCCACCCTTCGATTCAGAACATCCGAAAGAACATCTGAAACCCCCTATGCCGGGGTTGGGGTATAAAACTTGCTTGGTCGACAATTGTTTGTATTTGGCTGGAGGAAGCCCAAATTATTACACGGCTACAAAAAAAGTTTCCCTTTACAATCCTATCACGTCAATGTGTTAATTGAAATTTTATTTTGAAAAAGTTTTTTAAAACTGAAAATTTTTGGTATTTAGCAATTTATTAAAATGACAAAAACGTTAAATATTACATTGTAAATAATGTAATTCACAAAAATTTCACAGAATTACATTTGAGTGCACAAATCTGATATTAAAAAATATTTTCATTTGTTCAAAATTTTTTAAAAACATTTTTTAATGTCTCCACTAAACCAAGCGTTGTAGTATGTATGTCCGAAGAGAAGATTTTTATTTCGGTGAAATGGATGGGCATTTATATGCTGTTTGTGGCCGCTCTACAGGTTCACCAACTAGAACAGTTGAAAAGTACATTCCCGAAGAAGATAGATGGCACATGCTTGCGCCTCTGCCAGTTGCAACTCATAGTCTAGCAGGTGTAGTTAAATAAGATTTAATAAATTTTTGTCAACCGTTCATTTTGTTAATAACTTTCTGTCGAAATTTTTTTTCAAAAGTTTTAAATCGTCTGTTTATACTTGATTTAATAGAATACTTGATGTAAATTAACACGTCATTTTATCATACCACAGGTTGCGCGTTCAACGGCAGAATGTACATAAGTGGCGGAGTTGACCAGTCTGGCACTTCAAACAAAGTATGGAGGTACAGTCCTGACGTAGACAAATGGACGCCGATGGCTCAAATGCTAACTAATCGATCAGACCACATAATGACTCGCATGAACAGCAAAGTGATCGTAATCGGCAGTTTCCGTGATTTTGGGTTACCATCTTGGAATTTTGTAATGGCCGGTATTTTACCTCAGTATCTTGTTGTTTCTTAGTATAAATTTTTTTCTAAAAATTTTCCCACCCCTTAAGGTACATTATTTACAATGTAATATTTAACGTTCAAGCATTAATACGTTTCATTGTTTTATTTATCATGAGACACCACAAACGTATACACACTTAATAAAACTTTATCGTTCACTCAACTAGTTTTTATTTATCGATCGTTTCACTAAGTCATCATCTAGTCTATTAATTTGCCTTTTTAGCCATTACTTAATTTTATTGTCAGTTTATTTCATTTTATTTTTTTTATTATTACTATTTATTTTATTTTATTTTTTAATTTTACTTTTCATGTTTATACATTTTTCTCTCTCCGTTTTTTTTATTTATTTTTTACCTATTCGTTTAATTTTATACCGCCTTGCATTGCATGCTGTAAGAGTTTCTTCCTCTGTGAGATCCTGATTTTTAAAGAATAATAATAATAATAATGACAACAAGAATTTTTTACTAGAAACACAATTTATAAAAATTCAAACCATAAAATTTGTTTTAAAAATTTTTTAAAAAGTCAGGAGAGATATGATTGTGAAACAAATCAGTGGACATATTTGCTGACATTGAAGAAGCCTGTCGTCAACTCAGCCTTCTTCACCATGAACAACAGCCTGCACATTTTAGGAAAAGAAATATCTTCATATAACTGCTCCATTAATACTTTCATTCAGAAGATTAACTTGAGCAAGTATTTGGAAATGAATAACACGTCTGGAAATGGTGACAGTAATATTAACAATGATGACAAAAAATTTAATGACAACAATAACGTTGATGGCTGTCAAATTTTCAGTTACGAAGCCGACATATCGCTCATTTATCATTTTTTCGGAAACGTGATTACATCGAAATAATTTTGAAAAGGATTTCTACGGCACTGCTACGTATTTTATTTATTTTGTAATTTAATGTAAGCCGTCTTTTTATCACTTTACAATAGGCACTTAACTAGGGAAATATTTTGTTTTTCTTCTGATTTACTATAACGGACATTTACTATCCAATAGTGTCCGTGAAGTTAAGGCAACAGACCTGCTTAGCACCTGTGCTGTTAAATTCACCTGTTAATTAAATTTAAAGTGTTGTTCATTTCAAATTGATACCGAAAAATTTAACAAAAAAATTGAATCAAATATTCATTAACTTTCATGATAATTTTTTAAAATAGATTCGGTTCTTGGTTAATTTTTTGGCCAATCGAAAACCTGTTGCAGACTGGAGATTATGCAGTTTCTCAACAAATTGCAAATTAATTAATGCAATCCTTTCCGGCATACAGTTGTTGACACGAGGCAAATGTGTTTCGCAAAACTTCAACAAAGTTGAACAACAATTTTTTAACAATTATTAAATCAAAAAACCTTTTGTTCGTTCACAAACATACTTGAAAAATAAGTTTTTGTGCTGTACACTGGCCATCAGCATATGACAGGCATCCAAAATCGAGCATATCAAATGCCTTTAAACTTTAAATGTTAATGTAACATTGGGCAACTTAAGATTGCAACCCAACAAATTAAACATGGCCAAGTTTGTTGGCAAGCCATCAGCCACAAGAGCAACAGCCTCAATAGAATCCCAAAAAAAATCGTCAAACTAAGCAAATACACATTTATAAGGTTTAATTTTTTAACTAATCACTTTATATAATTATTGTTTTAAAGTTGTGAATAAAGAAAAAAAATTGTTGTTGACATTAATAATAACTTAAAAAATACTGCAATTTCCAATTTTACAATTATGTTTAATCTAATAGCAATGTTACAAAAGGTTGATGTAACATTAGGCATGAATCAGTTGTGTTCATCATCTATCGGAAATCTCGAAGCTACTGAATAACGGACACTTGACGATTGTTAGAAGCTATAACACTGGTGTTGGAAATGTAGATTGTTATGTTTTGTTTTATTTTAAAACATTATGATATACATCTATTTTTTTGGCTAAACGTTCTTTGCTTTGTATATAAATTTACTTTTGTTTTTCCGGTTGATAACGAACGAGTCAAAAACGTTTCTAAGTTTGTTTTCTTCTTTTAATGTTTTTCAATATATTAATTAAATTATATTATTACCAATTAATTAAACGATCTACGTTACAAGAAATTCAACATAGAGATCGTTTTAATTATAACACCGGTGTTGGTAGTTATGAGGTGAAGGATTTACAGCAATGATGTCAAAAGTAAGATTTTTGATAGATCGAAATTTTTAACAAAAAAAAATGCCGGCACTAGATGAACTCAATACATTTTATCTGAGAAATGAACTGCGACAACAAAACATAGACTCAAAAGGAGCGAAGCAGTTTTAATAAACAGCCTAGGTGACGTTTTGAAGAATTTGATTTTCTGGATCCTGGAAAAGAACTGATAGCCGAAACAAATAAAAATGATAGCCGAAACAGAAAAAATATAGCCAAACTACGAGCAGCCATTGGGAAAACATCACCTAATGATGTGAAAATTGAAAATACAGAAACGGCTACAATAGAGTCTAAATTATCTTACCAGTGTATTCACCTGAAGATGATTTCAACTGATGAAATTACGACAGAACAACGATGTCTGCCTGTAGCTTAAAAAACCGAAACATTAAAGACGTGGCGTGACTGGAAAAGAAATAGCGGATATTTCAAAAGCAAAGACATGTTCCAGTTGCACAACCTACGGCCAGAAAAAGGCCTAACCCATTTCGTCAGTACACCGCGGCTGACTGGATATCCAACTTGCGGTTAAAACAATAATATAAATAAAACAACACAAACACAAAACAGACATTTGCTGAAATTGGTGGCATAAAATGTCCGCAAATTTCTGTACAGCGGGGAGCATCATGAAAGCCGGTCTGGCATCACTGAACGCGAGCTTGCACGTTTCGACATCGATGTTGCGGCGTTTAGTGAAACGAGGTTTTCTGCATCTACTCAGTGTATAAAAAAGGTGCAAAATACACCTTTTTTTGCCAAGGTTATCCGGTTGGTAAAACCCGAAAACACGGAGTTGGAATTTCCAATCGTAACTCGCGAATGAAAACACTGTGAAACTCCGTGAGGTATATTTCTTCATCTGATAAAGTTGCAGTAGGTCCTAGCAATGGAAACACAGCTACACTTATCAACTGCTACTCATCTGCATTGGGTTCAACGCAGGAGGAAAAAACATTTTTACGAGCAGCTCACTGACGCTGTCGTTTCAATACTCTTCAAACACCAACTATTTGTTATTGGTAGTTTCACAATTCAGGTTGGATGCAACCACGGGCTATGCCATAGAGTACTGGGACACAACGGTGTTTGCAAAAAAAAATTCTTTTCAAATGTTTGTAATCTGGAATAAAAAAAAGCTTTAACAATTAAAGAAATTTTGGTGGGCAAAAAAGGCGCAAGAACTTCAAACAGCTACGGGCCATAATAATTTAAAATAATTTCATTAAAAGTTTACAGCCCGCAAGATTCTGACACTATTTTGGTTTGCTCCCGTGATAGTCTAACGCTCATTAAAGGTGGTCCAGGTATACTGGCTCGCTGGGCCGACCATTTTCAGGGTATGCTAAATCAGAAAACTTCATTCGACAAAACGGTGTTTTCCGAAATACCGGAATAACGAGCTTTTCAACGCACCCGGCTCTTATAAAATTGAATGAGCAATCCACTAGATAGCGTCAAGTAGATTACCGGGTTTTGATTGATTGCCAACAGAGCTTTTAAAAGCAGTCATTGTAGCTATAATGAAGGTATGAAAGTGAGCGTTGTTGAAAATGGCTAATGCTCTGCAAGCTTTGAAGTTGCCAACGGTACAAAACAGGACTACGTGCTGGTTCCTTTACTATTCAATATTTATTTTTTCTTGATGTTACAAGTCGCTTTTCAGAGTTGCAATGCGGGTGTTCCAATTTTTTATCGCACTTATGCCGACGTTTTCAACATCAGACGCTTGCAGGCAGACAAAAACATTGACGGCCACCGTTCGTGACCATCCCTTTGCTGATGACTGGGCTCTGGTTGCACATTCGCTTCAGATAATCCAGCTGCGGTTCAATCGTTTTCACAAAACAGTCAAAGATTTTTGACTCACGATCAGCCTGAAAATGACTGAGGCCTATTTGTTGTGTGACGCTGTTAATTTTTTAAACTTTATTTTAACATATTTTATTTCAATTATTTTTCGATGTTTCAGCTCTTCTAATATTTTTCCCTCTGAAACTGTTTTTTAGAATTGTTATGTTAATTACACCTCTAAGTTTCTGTATGTTTATTACTTCTACTTTTTTTTATTATGATTATATTTTATTAATATTTATTTTTTCAACTTTTCCGATAGTATTTCGTTAACTTTTTTGAATTTTATGAACCGAAATGTTTTTCAGACTGCAGCCTTCAAGTGGCTCAATGACAAAAAGCATAGAATTTATTTTTAGTGGAAAAAGGGTGAAACGCTTCTTTGAAGAAGCCAGACTTAAATCATGCTAATTAATTGAACAATAAGAATAACTTTAAAAATAATTAAAAATAGTTTTTATCTAAATTTAAATAAATCTACTCTAAAATAAAAAAAAAATAAATTAAATTTTTAAAATCTAATTTAAATCTGTTTTTAATACAAATTTTATTCAAATCAGTTTATAAAAATATTCCTGAAAAATGAACGTTGAAACAGCTTTTAAACCTCACCGACGTAATACTTTCTAATAGCAACATAACAGTTTTAAAGTAAACATTGTACTATAAAAATAGAATAAAAAAAATTTTTAATTTTATGAAAAGACAACAACACAAATTTAAAAAAAATAACAAAGAAAAGTTACTGTTATGAAAACTGTTTCAAATGTTACAAACCCATCGCTGCTCTCTCTTGCCACGGTCTCCTTTTTTACTTCTCTTTCTTCATATCAGTTTAGGACTTATTGAAAACGCCGAAGCTAACGACGGTTAGTTGAAAAATGATTATCAATATTTCATTTGCTGGCTCGTTGGGCAATAACAGGGTTTGATGTAAAAAAAATCGATTAAAATAGTTGTAATGACTGAGTTTGCATAGTAAGGCAGTTAATTAAGGCTCATTCATTAATCCCTCCTGTAACCAAATACCGCTCTAGGGCCTCCACAAAAAAGAGACCTTTGAATAGAGATAAAATTCTACGCTAATTTCGATGGGTCAGAAACGTTTGCGCTTTCACCCTAAACACAATTCTGAATATTTATTAATGATAACATTACTTGCCTACATATAATAACATTGTTCCACTTGTTAGCAAAGTTATTCTGTTTTTAATAAATTGTATTTGACAAACAAATTGCATTTTTTTTTGAAACAATTGTTTGTTAATTGCAACGAGGTTGGGTTACGATGTATGAGAGTGGTGTAGAAAATAAAAATTGATTTTTGTTCTTAAAACAATAAAGGATCTCCACTTTTTTGCTGCCCAATGGATTTTATACTTTTAAATCCAGTTTTATATGTAACACTAACAATTGTTGACTCCATAGAATACAAATATGTTTATGATCACCATCGTCCTAGCGTGGTGTCCGTTTAATTTTTAGGATGATTAATGAATTACAGATTGTCATGTCATCATACTTATCACCAAATTCACCGCCATCTTCATCATCTCCTTTGAATTTTCATGATGAACTGGTGCGGTAGGCATCTCGTCAATAATCATTGTCATCGTCATCTTCATTGTCATCGTCATCTTCTTCGTGACATTCATTACGTTACAGTGCACCACGTTGCCTGCTCTGAGTCGTGTGATGTTTGGATTGACGGACAATCTATCGCCACCAATCTCCAATACAAACAGCTCAAAATAAACGGAAAAGTTTATATTCAAATTTTTATTTTTAATTTAGTGAATGATTATACTTAGTTTAGTCAATTATTTAAAAATTTAGTATTTAAATCTCTTATCATTTAATTATTCAACAAATAAATAATGTCTACTATATTATGAGAGTGTGTTTTCTCAATGTAAAAATCAAAATTTAATTTTTTAAAATAAGAATGAATTTATAACATGCAATAAAAAATATTTAAAAAAAAAAAACACAACTGCGCGTACGCTTGAATCATTCAACGTATCGCGCGCATTGCGAAAACCTCTGCCTTCAAACCCGGTCGAGAAGCAGCAATTCCTGGCTCCTCAACTACGACATCATCACATCACTGTCGCACTTTGTGGCAGAAAGTAATGAAATCA